ACAATATACACGAAACCAATAGCCAACATCAACTTAAATGGAAAGAAACCAAAAGCATTTTTCCTAAAATGAGGCACAAGACAAGGCTCAGCACTCTCACCATGTCTCTTTTCTATAGTACTTGAAGTTCTAAATTCTAGAGCAATAAGACAAGCAAAGGGATACAAATTGCAAAGAAGTCAAAGTATCACTATTCACAGATGATAATATAGTATATACGTAAGTGACACTCAACATTCCACCACAGAAGTCCAAAGGCTGATACTAACCTTCAGCAAAGTGGCTGAATACAAAATTAATTCAAAAAAGTCAGCAGCCCTACTTTATACAAGTGAAAAGAGGGTTGAGAAAGAAATTTGGGGAACAACTCCCTTCACAATCGCAACAAATATAAAATGTCCAGGTGTGTCTTTAACTAAGTAAGTAAGTGAAAGACCTGTAGACAAGATCTTCATGTCTTTGAAGAAAGAAATTGAAGAATATTTTAGAACACAGAAAGATCTTCCATGCTCATGGATAGGAAGGAATAAGAGTAAACATGGCCATGCTGCCAAAAGCCATCTACAGGTTCAATGCAATTCCCATCAAAATTCCAACACAATTCTTTTTTCGTCTTCAGAGAATTTAATTCTTTTAAATTTTATTTATTATTTACTATTTATTATAATTATAAAAATATATAATATAATTATATTTTATTATTTACTATATTTTATTTACTTTGTATCCTAGCTGTAGCCTCCTACCTAGTCTCCTTTCAGTCTCACCCAACCTCCTTCTTCTCCCCCTTTGCACTTCCCCTATTTCATTGATAAGGGAGGTCCTTCTCCCCTTCTATCTGTCCCTAGCCTATCAGATCTCATCAGAACTGGCTGCATTTTCTTCCTCTGTGGCCTGGCAAGGATCCACAACCCATGAAGAAGTGATCAAAGAGTTCATGTCAGAGACAGCCACTGCTCCCCTTAAACTAGGAAACAAGCTTGGAGACTGAGCTAACTATGGGCTATATCTGAGCAGGGGTTCAAGGTCCTCTCCATACATGGACCTTGGTTGAAGCATTAGTCTCTGCAGGGCCCCCTGGGCCCAGGTATTTTAGCTCTGTTGGTCTCCTTGTGGAGTTTTTGTCCTGTCCAGGTCTTTCTATCTCCCTTTTCACCCATAAGATGCCTGAACTCTGCCCAAACTTTGGCTATGAGGCTCAGCATCTGATTCAATAGCATAATCGGTAGGTTCTGTCAGATGCACTCTGTCATAGGGTACTGTCCTGTTCCTTGTCTTCTACTTCCAATGTTTATCCTGTTTGCCCTTCTGAATGAGGATTGAGCATCTTCTCTAGGGTCCTTCTTCTGGTTTAGCATCTTTAGGAGTATAGATTTTAGTATGTTTTATCCACTTATAAGTGAATATATAGCATATGTTTCTTCCTGCTTTTGGGTTAATTCACTCAGAATGATATTTTCTAGTTCGATCTGTTTACCTGCAAATTTCATGACTTCCTTGTTTTTTTTTTTTTTTTGAGTAGTATTCCATTGTGTAAATGTACCACACTTTCTGTATCTATCACTATGTTGAGGGACATTTAGGTTTTTTTTCCAGATTCTGGTGATTTTTGAATAAAGCTGCTGTTAACATAGCTGAGTAAATGTCCTTGTATGGGTTAGCATCTTTTGTATATATGCCTAGGAGTGGTATAGCTGGACCTTGAGGTAGCACAAATTTTTTGAAAAAGTGCCAGACTGATTTCAAGGTGGTTGTATAAGTTTACATTCCCACCATCAATGGAAGAGGGTCAACCTTTCTCCACATCCTCTCCAGCACGCATTGTCAGTTGAGTTTTTGATCTTAGCCATTCTAGGGGGTGTGATGTGGAATCTCAGGGATGTTTTGATTTGCATTTCCCTGATGACTAATGATGTTGAACATTTCTTGAAGTGTTTCTCTGCCATTAGATATTTCTCTGTTGAGAATTCTCTGTTTATCTCTGTACCCCATTTTTAAATTGGATTACTTGGTTTGTTGGTATTTAAGTTTTCAGTTCCTTATATATTCTGGATGATAGCCCTCTGTCAGTTGTAGGGTTGGTGAAGATCATTTTGCAGTCTGTAGGCTGCCATTTTGTTCTGATTACAGTGTCCCTTGCTTTACAGAAGCTTTTGTTGGTCTTAGAGTTTGTGCTGTTGCTGTTCTCTTCAGGAGTTGTCTCCTGTGCCAATGAGGTCCATGCTCTTCCCAACTTTTTCTTCTAACAGTTTTAGTGTGTCTGGTTTTATGTTGAGGATTTTGATACATTTGGACTTTACTTTTGTGCACAATGATAAATATGGAGCTATTTGCATTTTCTACATATAGACATACACGTAGACTGGCACCATTTGTTATAGATGCTATCTTTTTTCCATTGTATGGTTTTGGCTTCTCTGTCAAAAATCAAGTATCTGTAGGTAGAGGTGGGTTTATTTCTGGATCTTCCATTAGATTCCATTGATCCACCAGTCTGTTTCTATGCCAGTACCATTATGTTTTAACTATTGTTGCTGTAAAGTACTACTTGAGATCAGGGATGGAGATACCGCCAGAAGATTTTTTTTAATTTTATTTTTTATATTAATTACAGTTTATTTACTTTGTATCCCAGCTGTAGCCCTCTCCCTCATCCTTCCCAATCCCACCATTCCTCTCTCCCTCATCTCCTTTCCACTCCCCTCTAAGTCCATTGATAGGAATAGTCCTCTTCCCCTTCCATCTGACCTTAGTTTATCAGGTCTCTTCAGGACTGCCTGAAATATACTCCTTTGCATCCTAGCAAAGCTGCTCCTCCCTCGGGGGTGGGGAGATCAAAAAGCCAGCCACTGAGTTCATGTCAGAGAAAGTCCCTGTTCCCCTTCCTAGGGCATACACTTGGATACTGAGCTGCCATGGGCTACATTCCGAGCAGGGGTTCTAGGTTATATCCACATGTGCTACTTGGTTGGAGAATCAGTCTCAGAAAAGACAACTGGGCCCAGATATATTTGGTCCTCATGGAGCTCCTATCATCTCCAGATCTTACTAACTCCCCCTCTTTCATATTATTCCATGAACTCTGTCCAAGGTTTGTTTATGACTCTCAGCATCTGCTTTGATACACTGCTAGGTAGAGTCTTTCAGAAGCCCTCTGTGGTAGCCTCCTGTCCTATTACTTGTTTTCTCCTACTTCCAATGTCCATCCCATTTGTCTTTAAGTGAAGATTGATCATCTTACCCCGGGTCCTCCTTCTTGTTTAACTTCTCTAGGTGTACAGATTTTAGTATGTTTACCCTATCTTATAGGTCTAGTATCCACTTATAAGTGAGAATATATCATGTGTGTCTTTCTGCTTTTGGGACACCTCACTCAGGATGATATTTTCTAAATCCCACTATTTGCCTGTAAATTTCATGATTTCCTTGTTTTTAATTGCTGAGTAGTATTCCATTGTGTAAATGAACCACAATTACTGTATCCATTCCTCAAATGAGGGACATCTGGGTTGTTTCCAGATTCTGGCTATTACAAATAAAGCTGCTTTGAACATATTTGAGTGAATGTCCTTGTTGTGTACTCAAGCATCTTTTGAATGTAAGCTTAAGAGTGATATAGCTGGATCTTGAGGTAGCAATATTCCTAATTGTCTGAGAAAGTACCAGATTAATTTCCAAAAAGGTTGTACAAGTTTTCATTCCCACCAACAAATGGTGGGGGAATTCCCTTTTCTCCACAATCTCTCCAGCATGTGTTGTCACTTGATTTTTTGATCGTAGCCATTCTGATGGGTGTAAGGTGAGATCTCTAGGTCACTTTGATTTGCATCTCCCTGATGGCTAAGGACGTTGAGCATTTGTTAAGTGTTTCTCTGCCATTCTATATTCCTCTACAGAGAATTCTCTGTTTAGCTCTGTACCCCATTTTTTAATTGGATTGCTTGATTTGTTGTTTTTAACTTTTTTAGTTCTTTATATATCCTGGATATCAGCCTTCTATCAGACACAGGGTTCATGAAGACCTTTTCCCAGTCTGTAGGCTGTCGTTTTATTCTGATGACAGTGTCTTTGCTTTAGAGCAGCTTTTCAGTTTCATGAGGTCCCATTTATTGATTGTTTCTCTTAGGGCCTGTGATGTTGGTGTTCTATTCAAGAAGTTGTCGCCTGTGCCAATGAGTTCTAGGCTCTTCCCCACTTTTTCTTCTAACCGATTTAGTGTGTCAGGTCTATGTTGAGGTCTTTGATCCACTTGGACTTCAATTTTGTGCATGGTGATAAATATGGATCTATTTTCATTTTTCTGCATGTAGACATCCAGTTAGACCAGCACCATTTGTTGAAGATGCTACCAGAAGATCTTTTATTACACAGAATAATTTAAGCTATTCTGGGTCTTTTTGTTTATCTATATGAAATTGAGAATTGCTCTTTCAAGGTCTGTAAAGAATTGTGTTGTTATTTTGATGGAATTACATGAAATCTGTAGATTGCCTTTGGTAGTATGGCCATTTTCCGTATGTTAATCCTATTGATCCATGAGTATAGAAAAACTTTGCATCTTCTGGTATCTTCTTCATTTTCTTTTTTCAGGGACTTGGAGTTTCTTTGAGAAATCAACAAGATAGACAAATCCTTAGCCAAAGTAACTAAACATTTGAGGCAGTTCTCAGAGGAAATTTTCTCAAAATGACACCTTTCCAAGAGCCTTAATGTCTACAAACATGGATGATGTCAACCTAAGTATCCTGAGGCGTATTTATCAACCCATGTTTCTCACAAGGACTATGGACATCAGATGCAGAGCCCCGGGGAAGAGAGTGTACAGGTTTCCTCCAGAGGTGAGAAACAACCTGGGAGAAAATGGGAATCGTGGGTGTGCACATTGACTCTCCTTTGATCACAGGGATAAAAGCAGGTAGAAACACATCGGTGCCCATTTTCTATGCTGTTCTTCATGGCGCTTCACAACCCACAGTGCCCAGACTTAGAGCAGTATAAAGATGTTCACTTCCATTTTCCTGTTCTTGCTCCTGAACATTTCACTTCTCATGGTCAGATTCACTCATACTAGGTGCTTCTGGAGAATGAAGCAGAATGAAAACAAGGAAGGAGATTTGGGGACAGGTTGTGTCTTCCCTATTAGATTGGTGCCTTTTCCTGTGGAAGAAGAGTATTTCAGCCACATTCTAAACACACAGTAAGTGCTTTTGTATTTTCTATGTAAATGTTATCATGAATGTTGCATGAAGCTTATTAGGATGAGGAGCAGAGCAGTGCTCTGTGTCTACTATCTTGTTCTTCATAACTCTACACTCAAAGCAACCCAAATTCATTTAGGGTCTCAAAGTTATTTTTATACTTTTAATTAGTACAGTACTATTCTGTTTTCTCCAGTTAGACTCTGAGTGCAAGCTGTAGGCTGATAAAAGAAAGAATTCCACCTAGATTCATCACATATAGCCCTCTGCTTGACAGTTTACAGAGCACATTAACCAAGGATGTTTTATCAAAAGAAACCACAAGGTTTTTTTGGTCTGAAACAGTGCAATTAAATGACTTAAGAAATGGGCTGATGGTCTTTACACCAGTGTGTAGCTCCTAATGTATGTGGTGGGGCAAATAATGTTTACATCACATTTAACTGAGGAGATCTTCATGTACATATTCAGTTACATTCTCAGATGCTCTACCTTCTATGAAGCTTCTTCTATGAAGCTGCATTAAGAATAGAAGTAGGAGATTTGTCTACTGTAAGCTTCATATGTGTTACTGTTTCTCCACACTTCTCTTGTATGCATGTAAAAAGAGTTTTTTCATTATTGCAAAACCAAATTTTCATTCTCTCATTAAAATAAAAAATAATGTATGGAATATATGTTATATGTTTGCATTCTTTGAAAAGTGAAGCTATCACTAGCACTGGTGACTGCCATGTCCTTTGTCATTTGTCTCAGTGTCAGCTGTGAAATGTGGTGGTTGTCACCCCTTAAGAACAAGTATCAATTTACCTACTAGCTCATATCTGTTATTATTTAAGAATCTTCTCTGTTTATGTCTTTGTTTATTCTCTGATACTTAAATCACATTTACCTTTATGTCTCTCATTTAGTAACTTTATTAAGTATAGCTGCATATTTTCTCAATGTGAGTACTCTACATATTTTGATGTTGTGAATTCTTGAGTGTTGTTTCGCAAACACAGCTCTTTCGACCAGTAACTACTCTGACAGCACAAGTAATTGATGTTTCTTTTTTTAAAAAATCTTTATTAGTTTTAACAAACAATCTCTTTGAGTATTGATTCTACACATCTTTGTTGTACTGTGGTGGTATGAACAAAATGTCCTTCAGTCTCAGAGCTGCTTGATAGGTAGTAAATTGTGAGGTAGTAAGTTGGAGTAGAGAAACTTGTGAGGTAGTAAAATGGAGTAGAGAAACCCTTTGTAATATGCCCATGTTCAGTAGGAAAAGCTGCAGTTAACTTCTTCCTTCTTGGCCAATAGGTGAACTAGTACTATAGCCTTAATACCGATTGATGCTTCAACTTAAATTCTTTATTTATTATTATCATTTATTACAGTTTATTTAATTTGTATCCTGGCCATGGGCCCCTCCCTCATCTCCTCCCAATCCTAAATGTTTAGTTTGCAGGACTTAGTGCTTCAAAAGTTCTAGTTTCAAATTTTCATTGCCTGTTACGTAAATTAATTGGTGTGAAAAACAATACCCTAAAAGGGCCTACTTTTCTAAATTAAAACACCATAGAAGTACAATGTCTAAATGAGAAAGAGATTGTATTAAACTCTGAGTCAATCATTCACAATGAAGTATCTTGTTTTCTATTTATTGTTAAGATGCTATGTAATGATTAGGAAGAGACAGGATTTATTATTCTTTCCATAAACATAAACACAAAGTGGTGTTTTCTCTACCACTTGGATTTTTGACTATTTTTATTAGAAAAAAAAAAACACCCATAAATGTTTTTCACACATATTACAATTTCTAGTCTTCTCTGTTACAAACATGTAATATTGGCACATACAAACATCACTGTAATATTTAGATGTTCACAGTTCTTACTAGGATGCTAGTGTTATGTTGGTATAACTGAAAAAAAAAACAAACAAAAGATATGTTGCTCACACTTTCCTCCCGTTAATATATCACATGCCTGTGTAAACATAAAACAGGCCAACTATATTGGAATGGTAGTGCATGCCCGTTTTTGCAGCACACATGAACTGGACCAAGTGTATCCATCTGTCTTTGAGAGCAGATTAGTCTACAGTACAATGCCATTTAAAAACCATGGGATCAGAGGATGGACACCAAAAGAAGAAGAGAACAGAAAACAAGTTAGGAACCTGCAACAGAGGGCCTCTAAAAGGCTTTGCCCTGCAGACTATCAAAGCAGATTCTGAGACTTATGGCCAACTGTTGGGCAGAGTACATAGAATCTTATGAAAGAAATGGGAAATAGTAAGATCTGGAGAGGACAGGAGCTCTACAAGGAGAGCAAAGGAACCAAATAAAAAATTGAACACAGAGTTCTTTCCAGAGACTGATACTCCAACCAAGTACCATGCATGGAGATAACCTAGAACCCCTGCACAGATGTAGCCCATGGCAGTTCAATGTCCAAGTAGGTTCCATAGTAAAAGGAACAGGGACTGCCTCTGACATGAACTGATTGGTCTGCTCTTTGATCACCTCCCCCTGAGGGGGGAGTAGCCTTACCAGGCCACAGAAGATGGCAATGCAGCCATTCCTGATGTGATCTGATAGACTAAGATCAGAAGGAAGGAGAGGAGGACCTCCCCTATCAGTGGACTTGGGGAGGGGCATGCATGAATAAGGGAGAGGGAAGGTGGGATTAGAAGGGGAGGAGGGTGGGGTTAATGGGGGGATACAAAGTGAATAAAGTGTAATTAATAAAAGTTAAAAAAAGAAAAAAACATGAGATCAATTACCCTTTTATGCCCCAAATGAGCATTGCTCATGTCCATACACATAGATGCATACAGACATGGTCTTTTTACAAAAGGAAACCCTTGAGTTTGAATTTCTTTTAAAAATAAATCTTTAAGCATATCTTCTATTTGCAATAAATAGGCTGGGAAAAATGAACAAGATGAGGTTGGATAAGGAGGGGTATGTTAACTATAGTATACACTAATTATAATATATTTTAAGGAGCCAATTGTTGCACCAGAAAGACTCCTGTGCACTCATCAGTCATTCTTTTGCAGTCTTTGCCAACTGAGTTAATGTCATAGTAATTATCATAAACTCAAAGGCAAATACATCATGTGTATTTTTCATAGTGCTCAATAATTTCAAAATGAATACATGATCAGGTTTATTGTTTGGTGAAATTCTGTGGCCTTGTCTTTATTTTCTTAGCAAGTACTCAAAAATCAGAAATGGAAAATACCCTCTGTGAAAGATGCCAATAGCTCATCTCACTTACGGGAGATGCACTCTCATAAAATTATACAACTTGTGGAAGCTCCCAGCTTCATATGTAATCCCAACCTCAAAACACAGGTTTTTTTCCAGTCTTTGTGGCGGGGGAAAATAACATCCAGGACAGAATAGACCTTGTATTAAATACAAATAACAATCTGTATATGTTCTTAGTAAACACTGTACCCTTTTACAGGGCACCAACTAAAAACTACCAGTTTGCCCTAGCTTTGGCTTTTTCTATCAATGAAGTCAACAAGAATGCTGATCTTTTAACAAATATGTCTCTAGTATTTGACATTTTTGAAGATAGTTGTATGAGTACACCAAAGCTAAAAAGACTCATGCATTTGTCTGAAACAAATCGTCGTAGGATTTCCCCGAATTATGTCTGTGATGATGAGATCACCTGTTCAGTGCTATTAACAGGCCCAAAGTGGGAAACATCTTTGAACACTCGGACAATCATGGAGCTCTACAGACCACAGCAGGTGAGTTTTTGTGGGCTGGGAATTCATGAAATTATGTCTCCATTTTTACCTCACCCAAATGCTAAGACAAATGTAAACAGGAGACTAGCCTTATGCGAATGTAATCGGTGAGGTTCAAGGATACTATTTAAGGATTTGACAGGATTTTCAAGTTTCCATGTTTGAAACAGAGATGAGGAAAGAAGTAATAGTTCAGGGGAATTTCTAGAACTCTTTACAGAAATGTGTGTTTATATGTTCTTGGGTGTGTATGCTAACACCTGCTGTTTCCTGTGTCTAGAGCCTACAACTTACCTATGGACCTTTCCATCCTATGCTGAGTGATAGTGATCAATTTCCCTATCTGTATCAGATGGCCCCCAAGGACACATCTCTAGCCCTGGCCATGGTCTCCTTCTTACTTTACTTCAGTTGGAACTGGGTTGGGCTGGCCATCTCAGATGATGACCAAGGTATCCAATTCCTCTCATATTTGAGAACAGAGATGGAAAGAAATACAGTCTGCTTGGCCTTTGTGAACATGATCCCAGGCAACACACAGCTATACATGTCAAGAGCTGAAGTGTACTACAACCAAATCATGACATCCTCTGCAAATGTGGTTATCATTTATGGTGACACAGACGGTACTCTAGCTGTGAGCTTCAGAATGTGGGAATCTCTAGGTATACAGAGAATATGGGTCACCACCTCACAGTGGGATGTCACTATAAGTGTGAGAGACTTCACACTTGACTCATTCCATGGGACTTTTGCTTTTGCACAGCACCATTCTGAGATTTCTGGTTTTAAAAATTTTGTCCAGACATTGAACCCTCGCAAATACTCAGACACGTATCTGGCAGGGCTGGAGTGGATGCACTTTAACTGCAAAGCCATGGAATCTAAGACAGTGAAGAACTTCGTATCCAATGCTTCATTGGAATGGCTAAAAGAACAGACTTTTGACATGACCTTCAGTGATAACAGTTACAACATATACAACGCTGTGTATGCTGTGGCCTATGCACTTCCTAAGCTGCTTCTTCAAAGGGTAGATAACCCAACAAACAAGAAAGGACCCAATTCTCTCTGCTTGAAGGTAGTGTTTCTTCTATTCGATGATATTTGGTGTTATCAATGACATAGTCTTTAAGGATTTCTCAGGTACACAAAGCAAGTGGCCTGGGAAATAATTCCCAAGACAGAATAAGAACTGAACACTTTTTCCTGCTGAGAAAGTAAATCTAGAGATGGTTATAAATGTCTAATTCAAAGGCAGTAGTGTAGAAGAAACAATTGACTGATAAAATTCTGTTACATTGTTACATGACACCTAAATCTCACCATACATGTTCAGATGCTAGAAAATTAAGCTATCTTTCATTATGATACTCTCCGTGATGAGATGATAACTTTTTTACTAATATCAAATTAGTGTAAGGGATTGTCTTCACAAGTGTTACCATTGATTCTGCACCCACTATTGGCTCTGGGAAACACCAGTGATCTGAGAGTAAATGCCCAGGAAATCGTGGTGGTATTAAGTTCAGTATATACAGGGGTTAAGGTGACTGAATGAATGTTTCTCACTGAGTACATGTGTTCGCTTATGTATCTTTTTATGTGTGTGCATATACGCATTTCTATCTATCTGCTTATTTTTCCCTCTGGGGAAATCAGCATAAATTTGTGTGTGTCAATGCTTTCTGTACAGGTGTTTTTGTCTATGTGTATCTTTTGTGGTATTTGTCAGTGCAGGTGTCTGAGTGTTCCTAAGTTTACTTCTTCTATTTCTATATATGTGCCTGAAGGTATGTACATCGATGATGATGATGATGGTGGTGGTGGTGGTGTGTGTTTCTGTCTGTCTTTCTGTCATTGGATATGAGCAAATATTTGTCAGAATGTCAATGTCTGTCTGTGTGGGTGTTTGTATATATGTATACCAATCTGTGTGTGTGTGTGTGTGTGTGTGTGCATACCTATCTGTCTGTATTTGTCTCTCTGTGTGTGCCTGTGTATGTGTTTGTGTGTTTCTGTGTCTTTGTGTCTCTTTGGGTAGATATTTCCATTTGTCTAAGTGTTCCTGTGTGTATTTAGGTGTGGAGGGCATTTATTTGTGTGTAAAAAAAGTGTGTATCAGCCTTATGTGTCTATCTTCCCTTTTTCAATCTTTTTATTAATTTATTTTATTCATTACAATTTATTTGCTTTGTATCCCAGCTGTATATCCTCCCTTGTCCACTCCCAATCCACCCTTGCTCCCTCTTTGCCCCTCCCATTTCCTTTCCCTAGTCCTCTGTTAGGGGAGGTCCTCCTCCCCTTCCATCTGACACTATCCTATCAGGTCTCATAGGGACTGTGCCTTTTTTCATCTCTGGCCTAGTAAGGCTGCAAGGCTGCTCTACCCAGATCAGGAGGAGGTGATCAAAGAGCCAGCAACTAATTTGGTGTCAGAAATAGCCCCTGTTCCGGTTACTAGAAAATCAATTTGGAGACAGAGTGGCCATGGGCTACATCTGTGCAGGAGTTATAGGTTATCTCTATGAATGGACCTGGGATGGAGTATCAGTCTCAGAAAGGATCTCTAGGCCAGATTTTTTGGTTCTGTTGCACTCCTTGTGGAGCTCCTGTCCCCTCCAGGCCTTTCTATCTTCCCTTTCTTTCATATGATTCTCTGTACTCTGCCCAAAGTTTGGTAATGAGTCTCAGCATCTGCTTTAATACCCTACTAGGAAGAGTCTTTCAGAGGCCCTCTGAGGCAGGCTCCTGTCTTGTTCCTTGTTTTCACCATCTTCCTTTGTCTATCCTGTTTACCTTTCTGAATGAGGATTGATCATCTTACTCAGGGTACCCCTTCTTGTTTAGCTTCTATAGGTGTATGTATTTTAGTATGATTATCCTATAATATATGTCTAATATCCATTTATAAGTGAGAATATACTATGTTTGTCTTTCTGCTTCCAGGATACCTCATACAGGATGATCTTTTCTAGTTGCCACTGTTTGCCTACAAATTTCATGATTTCCTTGTTTTTAATTGCTGAGTAGTATTCTATTGAGTAAATGTACCACAATTTCTGTACCCATTCCTCAACTGATGGACATCTGAGTTGTTTACAGATTCTGGCTATTACAAATAAGGCTGCTAGGAAATGTCCTTGTTGTATACTTGTGCATCTTTCAGGTATGTGCTTAGGAGTGGTATAGCTGAATCTTAAGGCAGCAATATTCCCAATTGTCTTAGAAAGCATCAAATTGATTTCCAAACTTGTTGTACAAGTTTATATTCCCACAAGCAATGGAGGAGGGGGTTCCCCTCTCTCTGCATCCTCTCCAGCATATATTGTCACTTGAGACTTTTTAAAAAACTTTTTATTTTATTAAATACAGTTTATTCACTTTGTATCCCAGTTGTATCTCCAGTCCCCCCCCAAATCCTACCATCCCTCCCTCTTCTCCCATGCTTCTTCCCCAGTCCAGTGATAAGGAAGGTCTTCCTCTCCTTCCATCTGACCCTAGTCTATCAGGTATCATCAGGACTGGCTTCTTTGGATTCCTCTGTGGCCTGGCAAGGCTGCTCCCTCCTCAGGTGGAGGTGATCCAAGAGCCAGCCACTGAGTTCATGTCAGAGACAGTCCCTGGTACTGTTATTGGTGAACCCTCTTGGATACTGAACTGCCATGGACTACTTCTGTGCAGGGGTTCTAGGTTATCTCTATGCATGGTGCTTGTTTGGAGTATCTGTCTCAGAAAAGAACCCTGTGCCCAGATTTTTTGGTTCTGTTGCTCCCTTTGTGGAGCTCCTGTTCCCTCCAGGTCTTTCTATCACCTCCCTTATTTCATAAGATTCCCTGTACTCTACACAAAGTTTGGTTATGAATGTTAGCATATGTTTTGATACCCTGCTGGGTGAAGTCTTTCAGAAACTGTCTGTGGTAAGCTCCTGTCCTGTTCCCTGTCCCCTCCCTCTTCCGATATCCTTCTCATTTGCATTTCTGAATGAAGACTGATCATCTTACCCAGGATCCTCCTTCTTGCTTAGCTTCCTAAGGTGTACAGATTTTAGCATGATTATCCTATATTGTATGTCTGATATCCACTTATAAGAGAGTATATAGCATTTGTGTCTTTCTGCTTCTGGGATACCTCACTCAGGATGATCTTTTCCAGATCACACTATTTACCTGCAAATTTCATGATTTCCTTGTTTTTCACTGCTGAGTATTATTCCATTGTGTAATATACCACAATTTCTGTATCCATTCCTCAAAGGAGGGGCATTTGGTTTTTTTCCAGGTTCTGTCTATTACAAATAAAGCTGCTACAAACATGGTTGAGCAAATGTCCTTGTTGTATACTTGAGCCACTTTTGGATATATGCCCAGAAGTGGTGTAGCTGGGTCTGGAGGTAGCACTATTCCTAATTGTCTGAGAAAGTGCCAGTTTGATTTCCAAAGTGGTTATACTAGTTTACATTTCCACTAGCAAAATTCTCAACTTCATATGGAATGACAAGAAGCGCAGAATCGTTAAAACAATCCTCTACAATAAAAGATCTTCTGGAGGTACCTCCATTCCTGATCACAAGCAGTAGAGCAACAATTACAAAAACTGCATGGTACTGGCACAGAAATACAATGGTGGATCAATGGAATCGAATAGAAGACCCAGAAATAAACCCACACACTTATGGACACCTGATTTTTTACAAAGGTGCCAAAACCGTACAATGGGAAAAAGATAGCATCTTCAACAAATGGTGCTGGACTAACTGGCTCTCTACATGTAGAAAAATGCAAATAGATCCATACTTATCACCCTGCGCAAAACTAAAATCCAAGTAGCTCAATGACCTCAATATAAAAATGGACAACTAAACCTGTTAGAAGAAAAAGTAGGGAAGAGCCTTGAATTCATTGGCACAGGAGACAACTTCCTGAACAGAACACCAACAGCACAGGTTCTAAGAGCAACAATCAATAAATGGGACCTCATGAAACTGAAAAGCTTCTGTAAAGCAAAGGACACTGTCATCAGAACAAAACAACAGCCTACAGATTGGGAAAGGATCTTCACGAGCCCCATATTTGACAGAGGGCTAATATCCAGAATATAGAAAGAGCTTAAGAAGTTAAACAGCAACAAGCTCAAGTGACAACACATGCTGGAGAGGATACGGAGAAAGAGTCACGTCAGCTTTTTATCTTAGCCAATCTGATGGGTGTGTGGCAAAATCTCAGGATTCTTTTAATTTGCATTTTCCTGATGACACAGTACATTGAGCATTTCTTTAAGTGTTTCTCTGCTATTCGATATTCCTCTATGTAGAATTCTGTTTAACTCTGTAATCCATTTTTTAATTGGATTACTTCATTTGTTGCTTTTTAACTTATGAGTTCTTTATATATTCTGGATTTAGCTGTCTGTCAGATATAATGTTGGTGAAGATCCCTTCCCAGTCTATAGGCTGTTGTTTTGTACTGATGACACTGTTCTTTGCTGTACAGAATCTTTTCAGTTTCTTGCGGTCCCATTTATTGATTGTTGCTCTTAGAGCCTGTGCTGTAGGTGTTTTGTTAGGAGTTGTCTCCTTTGTCAATGAGTTCAAAGAGCTTGTCCACTTTTTCTTCTAACAGATTTAATGTGTCTGATTTTATATTGAGTTCTTTGATCCACTTGGACTTTAGTTTTGTTCCGGGTGATGAATATGGATCTATTTGCATTTTTCTACATGTAGACATTTTGTTAGCCCAGCACCATTGATTGAAGCTGCTATCTTTTTCCATGTATGATTTTGGCATCTTTGTCCAAAATCAGGTGTCCATAAGTGAGTGGACATTTTAATTGGCTCTTCTATTCGATTCAACTGATCTGCTAGCCTGTTTCTATGCCAGTACCATGCAGTTTTTATTACTGTTGCTCTATGTTACAACTTGAGGTCAGGGATAAGGATACCTCCAGAAGATCTTTTATTATAGATGATTGTTTTGGACTTTCTTGGTTTCCCTTTTTTTCTATATGAAGTTGAGAATTTTTCTTTCAAGGTATATAAAGAATTGTGTTGGTAATTTGATGGGAATTGCTTTGAATCTGTAG